GACTACTGAACTGAACTGAAGACTTGAATATTTATTATTATCTCAACACGTTTTAGTACCATGTTTTGAGATACATATTTATGCTACTTTTATTCTACATTTAAACAATGTTACAAAGTTGAGAGTACTTTGGATTTTACCGCCATAACTTTTATCGCAAGATGATTTTGTGTGTGGTATAAAGCCACGATGCAGCTATATGGTGGTTGTAGCACGAATGGGTCGGCTCGACAGGGGAAGGGCTACCCGCTCACAGAATACCAGCGTAAAATGGCAGCTTAACGCTGCTGTGTTTCGTATGGTGAGTGTAGAGAACCGGAGACTCTCGAATTTTGATTCTTAATCCAGGATCTATAGCCAGAATGGATCAACTCGAACAGGGAAGGAGGTTCTCACAGAATATCAATATAAAAATAACCAATATAAATTCGTATGGTGAGCGGAGAGAACCGGTGAGAACGGAAAGAACTGGAGAAACAGGTGATGGTCAGCAGTATCTTTGTGAGAACAACCCAAAGTTATAAAAGACTGCGGCTGCCACGCACCTGCCACGCACCTGCCAAGCGTGCAACTACGGCGAGTATCCCCCCCCCCCCATATGAGGCAATGTATCTTGGGAGGCCTGTGTTCACTAGTGGACTTCATACGCGGTAATAGATGTTGTATAAGCAATTTATTTTGTGACAGCATGAGGCACGGCTTCCGTTTTGTCTTTATAACGCTACTTATTTTTATTTAGAATTAAACGTATCTACCGGCTAGGGTTGCCAGACGTTCTTTATTTAAAAATACGTCCTCTACATTGATTAAAACTACTTTTACGGATTTTATCGCGTTTAATTTTACTTTTAATTAATTACTTTTAATTAAAGCACCCGAAACGTCGGGAATTAAAAATAAAAATAATTAAAAGTAAAATTAAAAGCGATAAAATCCGTAAAAGTAGTTTTAATCAATATGTAGTGTTCGCGTAAATATAAGAAATCATTAATACGTCCTCTATTTCAGACTCACAAAATGATTTTGTCCCCTAACTCGAAATCTTTAACAGAAGACAAGGTAATAGTGCGCGTATTCAACGTTCCCTCTGCAAGTTGAGGTCAATGAATTTAAAAATCCTTTCGAGGTGACGCGCAATGTTGGAGAGATAAATTATGTTACATTGTGTATTAACATTGCATTTTTATTAATAAAAATCGCTACTGATACCGTGACTGCATTTTAAAGTGCAGGCTTCACTAATCAAAATCCTAGTCACTGTCGTCTTGAAGACATCATTATGATGTAATAAGACCATGTACATAATGTTATGTTAGTTTCTTTTTACAATAAATTAGTGCCATTGTAACATCAACTTCCTTTTCAATAAGAAAATCATTTCCATGTGCAGAATTATCTGTGCCATGTCCAAATATGAATCCACCATGAGAGAACTCCATTACAGGTAATTTCATGCCTTCATTTGATGTAAGTGTGTATAGTGTATACACGTTTAAATAAAGACAATCTTCATCGCCTACAAAGGTATCAGTTGCCTTATCAAATTGTGCGCAAATATAACATTCCTTTGTAGCATCTCTTACACCATCCCAGGGTTCGGGTGATTGTGGCATCTTCTATAATCTCCGCTTCTGTTTTTTTTTATAGGATAAGGTAACAGACAAGCACACAGTTCACCTGATGGTAAGTGGTTGCTGCGGCCCATAGACATCTACGTCTATCCTCGATTACAATTCAAAATGCAGATGCGTTGTCACCCGTGAGGACTAAGATGGAATGCCTCGTTTGCAGTAAAAAGGGCCTCCGGTTCTCTACAATCACCATACGAAACACAGCAGCATTAAGCTACTATTTCACGCTGGTATTCTATGAAAGTGTGGTACTTTCCCGGTCGAGCCGACCCATTCGTGCTACAACTATACTATTAATATAACTGCAGCATGGTTCTACCACGTATAAAAATATGTCCGTATATAAATATGGTAATTTTTAGAGCTGTGGCAGTTCAAATGGTTAGCTTTCACTGTATATCTCACAGTACGCGAGCAACCCGGGTTCGATCCGAGCCGGCACCAATGAAATTGTTAATTGCAATTTCAATTGCTGATTTACCATATGCTCGGTGTTGAAGGAAAACATGATGAGGAAACCTGCATATCGGAGAAATAAAAAATATCGAAGACGTGTGACGTCGAACACGCAATTTGGCAGTGCGGCGGACACTTCCTTGCCCTAAAAATCTCTCAGAAATGAGAGGAGGCCTGTGCCCAGCAGTAGGACGTATATAAGCTGTTACTTGTTTTAACTTAAACTTTTATTGTAACATCAATCGAATTAAGGGCCTTATACTTCAACTATATAACTATATTTCAACTATATAGGCTCTGGTTGAGCAGATGAAGTACAGAAATTTGTCGCCTTTCGTTACATGTCTCGTAGGCTGGGTGGTCTGTGCATAGGCTTTTACTCCGTTCACCTCGAGCTCACAAGCTCAGCGCCACCTCGAGCTCACAAGCTCAGCGCCACCTCGAGCTCACAAGCTCAGCGCCACCTCGAGCTCACAAGCTCAGCGCCACCTCGAGCCATGTGCCCAGGCTACAGCTTAGTCAGCCTGTGGGCAAATCCGGCCCTGGTTAGAACTATTTAAATGTTTACTAAAATGCAGCAATGTGTAGTTTATCAGTTACACATTATACTGGTATTTACATATTACACACATTATTCTTACACGGTACAGTGGTACTGGTGCGAAGTTCTAATGATGAAGTCTGGCGCCCACACCAAGCGAAGATGTCCGCGCCGTTGTAAGACATTGATGATACAAATTACATGTTATAAAAGCTTAATGGTTCTGCGAATCCTTTCTAGGTTAATTCCTACGACCATTGGTTTACTTGATGTCTTGCTCGATTGATTGTACCTACATTATTTTTTATATAATTAGTTGCGAATGCTCATCATATAAATATATCATCATTAAATCAATATTTTGCGAGCATTCATCACGTTAACCTCGAATCTATGAATTTAAAAACTGATTACGTAAATTTTTAGACTTTATTAATTATTAATTCTATTACAATCCATCTTAGTCACAGAGGTAACAATGCATCTTTATTTTGAATCTTAATTCAGGATAGAACGGATAGATGTACGTGGCTGTGGACTACAGTGACCCAATCTATGCAGGAGGCCTATGTTCAGCAGTGGACTTCTATAGGCTACGATAGATATAGAGAGGCTACTGCATTTAAATGCCATCTGGGGCAAGGTGGGCCCATTTGTCATTTTCACTTTAAAAGATTTATGTAACTGTTTTAGGGTTTCAACAAAAGTTTTCTTATGACATAAGCAGGGCAGGGTTAAGCTAGTCTTTCTATCTCAGCACTACTACTAGCACTAGGGAAAGGCCCATTATAGAAAGAATTGATCATTGTTCTGTTTAAATTTACAGTCTAGGTGTCTTACGCCTTAGACGCTGCGACATCTTTCAGAGGCCATGAGGTCTTTCCAACCATTCCCGTGTTCACCTTTCACGACAACCACGGGGTGAAATAGGTTGATGGATTGTCTATTGACATACGGTTTTCTTATTTAAATAGGATCCTATTTTACCGCGTTTTAAGTAACTTGCTTTCGTATATGTCTGTTTGGGTCGAATTTAGTTATTGATTTTATACTTTTAAAAATAGCTCAGAATCGAATGACAATGTAAAAAGAATGTTGTCAGTGAACTGATATTCAAAAGTTAATCATTGATATACAGTTTCATTCACTTATCAGAACCTAGTTCTTCGACAGTCTTAGGTTTAAACTATTAAAAACTATTTTGTACACTTTATATATTTTTATTTTTTCCGTAGTATAGTTTTAAGCCGAGGCTATTATTTCTTAAACCACGTTTTCTATTACGACCGAATAAATTTGATCAATTTCAATTTGAAGTTATGGATGATGATACCGCTGGGAATGAGGTGTTCGCTACGAGTAGCGAGCTGTTTCTAATTTGTTTTGTGTTATTAGTAATAGGGTAACTTTAATGATAGTAAACTGATTTCTTTTTCATAAAAAAATGTCGCGCTGGATCTCGTTGGTTCTTGGACAAAGGTGTTTTCCGAACCTGGTTCTAATCTATATGGAATAAAAAAGATTGTACTATTTGTATTTTTTAAAGTTTATATAAACTACTAGCCATCCGCTCCAGGTTCGCAGTCAGTTCTGTATTGCGACAACAGCGCCACCTATGAGGTCTAATTGTGAATCTAATCCGTCCAGGGACCCACTCACACACACACAAAACTTCATCAAAATCGGTGTAGCCGTTTAGGAGAAGACTTGTGACAAACATATATACAGAACTATAAATAAAAAAAAAAATATATATATATATATATAAATTAGAAGAATTATATATACAGATATATATATATATATATATATATATATATATATATAATATTATTTTGTCATAAAACAAATGAAAACTTAGAATGATAGACATCAATGTCTTATTTTCTACTATTCATATTTAGACGACGGATGAATCATGGTATCGATTTGGTTTTTGGCCACTTCCGAGGTTCGAACACATTCAGAATTTACAATTAATTAATATATCGCCCAGAGCCAGCCCAGTTTAGCCCTTCCTTTTATGCCACATTTAAAATACCAGTGCTTAATAATACTAATATTTTAAACTACTGCCTCGTTGGTCTAATGATCAGTCCTGGGTTCGAATCCAGAGTCAGGCTAAGATTAGTTAATCAGGCCAAAGTCCTACACCTGATCTTTCTCCGGTCGTGTCAGTTTTCCATCCTATCGGACTATGAGAGTAAGGGAATAAAGAGTACACCAATGCATCACGCGCACACGCTCGGACACTATAATCATTTCCTGCGCAAATATCTAGTCTTCGTTGCGAGTGGTCGCCGCCGTGACTGAACTTCAGTCTGGTGACCTTATTATTAGTTAAGAGTAATGATGAATTATTTCTGTTACAGATGGTATCGGTGGCGGACCGCGACGCGACGACCACCACTCCACACTGTCTAGCAGGTCAGTCAGTCTGAAAAATAGAGATTTGAAAAAAATGATTAACATGTTAAAACTCTTGGTTTTAAAAATATTTTCGTTCAATATCTCGTATACCATCACATACTTAATGAAATTATTTTAAGAACCTATAGTGTTAAGATGATGAAATATCTAATATCAGTAATTGAAAATTCCTTCATCTAGTGGGGGCATACACTTCACTTCCGGCACGAGGCTGCCGCTCGAGATGGCCGAGGGTCGTGCTTTGCACGTTTGTTCCATGCGTATGTTCAGCTGCAGGAAATGCAAAGAATAAATGGATGGACGATTCCTTGCGGGGATTGTAGTAGCAAAATATATAATAATTATGAAAATATATAAATTCTTGTACGTGGTAAAGTCACGCTGCAGTTATATCATAGTTGAACGAATAGGTCTGTGCGCTTTACCATCTTCGGCAGCATCGTCACTTGCGATCAGTTGCGATAGTAGCCGAGCGCTGCATTATAATATTAAAAAATATATCCTACCTGTGAAGCAATCTGCGGGTGAGGTCTATGTTAAACTGTCGACGTAATAAAATAAAGTTATGTCGTCTTAATATTACAAAAAGTGATTTATTATTAGTCTCAAGTTTTCAAAAAACAGAGAGAGAGAGAGAGAGAGAGAGAGAGAGAGAGAGAGAGAGAGGGATAGGGAGAGAATAAAGAAGTTTCGTATAAAACTTAAAAGTTGAGTATGGATTTTGAAAGCAAATGTTAAATTTCATAAAGGTCGTAGTATTGCGGCTAAATGAGATATTTTATGAAAAAGACTTCTTACGAGACATTAATACGTTTTGTAAAAGGACCGATTAAATGTTATCGCTGTTGTTCCTAAGATACAGGAAAACAAAATCTATATATTTCATGAATGTATACGTATGTAAGAGTATTTACGTGTCAAAAAGTACGTGTGAATGCGTTATTTTAAATTCACAATGAGTTTTCCACGAATATGTGGACGTATTTGTTACGTCTAGTCACCATTATCATTATTATACCGGCGGGTCTCACAACCTGCTTACAATAATATAGGAATAGTACACTCTATCCGTGACAGACATACATATATTTGCCTTCACCTTGTTCACCAGCCCAGAACGCTTCTCATATTTCAGAGACTTGCGACGTTTTGCACCTGTGATGTCGCTTCTTATCTTTTTATTTTATAGAATAAGGATAACTAACGAGCACACAGTCCACCTGACGGTAAGTAGATGCTGTGGCCCATAGACATCTATTATCCTATTATTTCTACTCTGTATATATATTATATTTCTTATTTTCTCAATTAACGATCGAAATGCAGATACGTTGTCACCCTTAAGAACTCAGATGGAATGCCTCGTTTCCAGTACAAAGGATCTCCTGCACGCACCATACGAAACACAGCAACATCAAGCTGCTATTTTACGATAATCTGTGAGAGCATGAGTCTACAATTACTCGTTCCATTTGTGCTACTTGTGTTATTAAGCTGCAGGTGGCTCTGCCACGTATATATGAGTTGGGTATATGACAGCTGAGATATACGAGGTGTAAACTGATATATGTATGTATAACTCGACTCTGGGGGAGCGACATAATTATGGACTTTTATGATTATAAGGTAGGATATGCCGATATATGTTTTCTACAAATAAAACATAAGAAGGGATTCTTGTGTACATATAAGCAGTAAATAGATTTTGTTTTGCAATTGCAACCAAGTCCTTTGTTAAATTCCTATCGTTGGTAAAGTTGGTAATATTGTCTAATCTGAAAGCATATCTTATTAGACGAAACCCCGGTGTTTCAGTATATTCTATTTCACAATCAACTGGAATTCACGTTCTAGGCTCTATCAATATATCTATCTATAACGTAAATTCCAAAGGCATAAGGTATATTCCAATACAATCTTGCAAAAAAATTCGAATACCTGGTACAGTTATGCAGCAAATAGCTTTGTTTCGCAAGTGCACGCGCTCGCTCGTGCGACATGGACACGCGCACGTCGTCCCGACAGCGCAAAAGGAGCCCGCACGCGACCTGGTTAAGTGAGGCCTGATGATGACTGTACTCCTAAAATTATAACTAAAGAATTAGTAATTAAGAATAGAACAAAATTTATTCCAAAAGTCCAAAGTTATTATTAATATTATGCTATTAAAATTAAAAATTCAGAAAAAATGTACTGTTACATTATATACTCAACCATTATGTAAAAATATTGATTGTTAAGCATTTTTGCATTTTTAAGTACTTTTACATTGCTTATACGAGTACACAGGAGCCCATTGGCAGGATGCGGACCCCGAATTCAAAGGGTCGTGAGTTCGAGCATCACTACAAATACAGACGCAAGCAGTTTAAGCCAACCAAAGTGATGAAGGCAGTATTAGTAGTGTTAATAGCCTTACTAGTATAAAAAAACATCGTACTTTATACATAAATGTTTCGTATGGATCTTAGAGAACTTATTAAGTTTTCTAAGCAGCCAACATAATGCTCCGAAAGTATCTATGTCTTATAGTATAATTCTAAAACTCCGACAGTGCCCAACTTATTTTTATGTGGTTGCGGTTAGAATAACTTTTTTAATGCATTTTGTTTACATAGGTTTGTGTTAAATGTATACCTTGAAGTCTTGCAGCTGTATGCTTGGGTTGGGATTTAATTTTATTAATTATAGGATCCCAAGCAGATGGTAGCAAGTGCGTTGGACAAACTAAAAGATCAATTAAAACCCGCGTTAAAGAACATATAGCTGATGTGAAGAATCGGCGCTTCGGGAAGTCTGCAGTCTGTGAACACGTACAGGGTCGCCCACGTCACTATATCAGACTTGATAGACCATAAATCCTCGCTAAAGAACACCGATTCCTTCCAATGATGTTTCGAGAGGCTATTTAAATCAAAAAACATCCTAATTTCAATAGAAAAGATGGCTGGGTGCTACCATCTGCTTGGGATCCTATAATAAATAAAATTAAACCCCAATCCAAGCATACAACTGCAAGACTTCAAGATACTATAAGTTCATACTGCGTAGATCGGGACAAAATTAATAATTAATCTGAGGGTAACCGCTGTTAACTAGACACCGGGACGTCGAGCGTCTCCGTCCCCTTTGTGACCATGGGTGATGTAAAGTGCTCGAAACGTTGGCAATATAAAAAAGTTAATATACGCGATAAAATCCGTAAAAACTGAAATCTTTATGCATTGACGCTGCTGGGGACACCGAGCGCGCCGGGCGTCCCGTTCTCCCACTGCTGCTGGCATCTGGCATGCCGCAGCAAGGCGCCGGCGCCGCGCATGAATCAATCTAATTATTATACACTGTACACTCTTCCTTTATCTAATTTCCGTGTTATCGACCTGTGTTAATTGCATTTTTATACACGCATGCTATTAAAGATCAAAATCTAAAAGACGCTATTAAAGATTCTGTTTGTGACATTAAAAATAATGAAACAAAATTGACTAACGTTTTTCAGTTCAACAATGTAGTGTTCTTAGTTCTTAAAGTTTTAAGAGCTTGTTTATGTATATTCTACGGCTGTATTCGATTAATTTAGGTTTTTAATGTACTTCAATGTTAAGTTACAGTTGAGTCAAAATATCATAGCTGGCATGTTCACTAAGGCTTTCTGTAAAAATATAATAGAAGTCATCGCTCGCGGTGAGCAAATTTTATAAATTAAAAATATTAGCAATGCTATTAACACCACTTGTACTCCCTTTCACCGCTCCTGGTAAGCGTAAAATGTTTGTGTTAGGTGTGGTTCACAACAATTGTTGAATGGGGGATTCGAACCCACGACCTTTTGAGTTCGGAGATTCAAATAATAATTTAAAAAAAAAACAATAATTATTAGCCACATACACGTTCACATCTCTTTGCATTATGTGAAAGTAATTAATAAAAATTCAGTTGCGAAGTGTTTTTATGACGATGATATCAGCACTGCTGTTTATTGGTTATTCATCAGATATGTCCTCACACCCGCGCCGGGTGTCAACTAATTCTCAATTCACGTCACGCGCTTGGATCCAGCAGCTCGTGAGTACGGTTTCGAAACATTATACGTATAATAATAAGTTATAATTTCGTGTGCGGACGAAATACAAACAGATAGCAGCTATTTCGTAACTCTGTAGTCGTTGTTGACATATTAGAGTCGACTTTACTTTGTCTGGCATTGCATTCGTGATGAAAAAATGCGTGACATCCTCATACCTATATTATGTTAAAATTATAGGTGCTTAATAAATTAAAATCATGTATAATATAATGATACCTCAGGGGCTAATATTATATTACATTGTCTGAGCTAAGTGAACGCTGTAAATTACACAGCATGCAAGTCAATCGATTTTGAGTCCTGCCTCAATTAATGAAATTGTTAATTAAAATTTCCTGTTAACGCTGTTTTACGTGATCGGCGGTGTAGAAAATCATCGTGAAAAAACCTGCATGTCATCATCATTACAGCCCTTCACAAGTTCACAAGGAATGCCACAAAGCACGGTCTGCATCCATCGAATTCTTATAAATCTTACCAGGTTGCCATTCCATATAATGGGGGGTGCCCTACACTTCGCTTATGTTACGAGGCTGCAACTCGAGAACCTATCGTACCCATCGGTTATCGGTTGAATAGCCGGAATCAGCTATATGAACGGTACATGGCCACTTAAGCTTATTGATCAGAAGTGGCTTCATAAATTTCTCAGTAATAAGTGGTGGCCTGAATCTGGCAGTGGAAAGTAGGTATATAACCAGCAATTTTAACTTTAAACAATAATAATCAATAATCTCACAGAACACCAGCGTAAAATAGTAGCATAATTCTGTGTTTAGTATGGTGAGTTTAGAGAAATGGAGACCATTTTTACTGGAAGAGAGGCATTCCATCTTAGTCCTCACGGGTGACAACGCATCTGCATTTTGATTTGTAATCGAGGATAGATGTAGATGGCTATGGGTCACAG